GGCAATGTACATTGGTAAATTCTGGCTCCTTCTCAGGCTCAGATTGGCCATCCCTGGCCTATGCTGTCCCGGCATGTATCTAGCACAATGTAGCCCAAATTTCTGACTGAGCCTTGTGACTGTGACACAAATAACCAACCAACCACTAATAATTTTTCCTAAGCAAAGTGTTAAGCAGTTGAGCTGGGCTTTGCTAAAGCCTGGAGATCACGATAATGTCATGCAAAGAAAATGTCTTAATTTCTTCACTAGAATACCTCCTTGCTTTAGAGAGGAAGTGTAACATGCAAGCATCATCCCCATTCAGTGTTTCACTGGTTAAATAGAGGTTGAATTAGGCCAGTACGACCCTTAAAGGCATACAACTTCCAGTTTTTTTAAAGATAAATATTGTTTTAACCTCGTTCTCTTCTCAGCTTTGTTTGCTGGCACAAACCCCTCCATAGATGAAGCCTAACTGGCTAAGGGGGGGGGGGGAATGAGCTATTACTTTTGTAGACTATCTGGCTCAATTGAGGGAACAATTCCTACTTTCAGACACTTCCCTAAGAGGTTTGAAATATAGATGATCTGCCACGGCGATGTACAATGTGGCTATTTATTATCAGCCATTTTAAATGCAGCCTGCTTCTTAGCTACGGTGGACAGCAGCAGACAGCTGGCCTAGGCTGCTGCAGTTGTACCTACCGACCTGGATTTACTCCCTTTTCTAACCCGGGGCCCCGTCCATCACAAAATGAAGGTACAGAAATTGCAACTTGCGAATCAGCGGAACCCTCTGACAGCCCAGAGACATACCAAACCTGTTACTATGCGATGAAGTCAACATGTCAAGTCCTCAACAGACCCTTGGCTACTTTGCTCAAGCCCTTTCAGCAGCTAGTCAACACTGTGTAACAGATGGTGCATTAATCTCCGAGTCCTTTCCTCTGCTTGTGAATTAACAGCATTATCCCCTTTCCACAACTGGGCTGCCTTGAAACCTAGTTTTAAGGTTGATGGATTAAGTATTCAGTCCCTGCTTCAAGTACTTGACTTTCAGGTAGGGGGGGGAAGTATCATTTCCAACACTCAGTCCTTTTAGACCAGACAAATCACCCACTGCAGCCTCTGTGAATGTGCATCGATAGGATCACTGATTTCAATTAAAAATCAAGGTGAGATTTGACATTAATTTAAATGGGGCTGGAACTTGGCCCAAAGACATTCAGTTGCACCCAGTTTCCCAGGTGAAGGGAATTCCCTGAACAAACAACTCTCTGGCATACCAACGAGGGTATGGAATGATGGGTGAAACGGAGGGAGTGCCAGTAGGGGGATATAAACATGCCAGCATAGTAGGTAGTTACCCTATTTATAAGACAGCCCAGTAGCCTGTCACTGAGAGTGGCCAGGACAAGATGCCTCAGAAATATTTAAATTAAACAGGGGACAATGGCAAAGACATGGTTCTATTACGCAGGCAAATACAACACTCCTTTGTATAGTGGATGCCCATGGGAATTTGGGTGGGCAAAGAATACAAGAGCAAGCCCTCCCCTGGGATCCATTTGCCCCAAAGTGGTGTTCAAGCTCTTCTTAAAAAACCCAGCCCCCAATTCAGCAACACAGTTAAGAGAGCTTTGCTGAATCACGGCTCCAGATATTCAGCTTTGTGTCTCCAGGCGGCACGGATCACTGGCATCCCAGCTGTGGAAACTCTTATAAGCTTTGGACGCACATTGTGTGCGAGTTGGAAGTTTGACAGCTACTTCAACCACTGTCCCAGCTGAGTAAACTTTGCTTTATTCAAGGGAGGGGAGGAAGCATTTCTATGACCTCTTTTCAAACGCATCGGGCTCATGGTATCGATGCCATGTTAACATCTGGGACTGATCAGAAACCAGTGAATCGGCAGAAACTGCCTCCTGAATGTCCAGACGTGAAGGCATCTCACAGGCAAAATATACAGTAACTACTCATTTAACGTTGTCCCGGTTAAGGCTGTTCCGTCGTTACCTTGCTGATCTATCCAGGAACAAGCTCGTTTAAAGTTGCGCAATGCTCCCTTATAACGGCCTTTGGCAGCTGCCTGCTCTGTTCACTGTTGCAGGATTCTCTGGAAGAGCAGCCCCTCCTTGTGGGGATTGGGAAATGGGGGGGAGGGGGCAGCAGCCCCCCGTCCCCATCAGCTCCCCTAAATTCCCTATAAGGTATGTGTCTCGGCAGCTGCTCAGAAGCAGTTCAGGTGGCCCTCCCCACACTGCCGTGCTGCTCCTGCCCTGCCCTCTGCCTTGGGGCTGCTCCCCGGAGCTTCCTGCTTGCTGGGGAAGGGGTGCTGATATCAGGATGTCCCCCTGCTCCTTCCCCCCCCCGCTCCGTACCCTCTCTCCACAAAGCGGAGGAGGGGGACAGGGCTCAGGGACAGAAAGGAGGGAGCTTGCTGGAAGCTCTTGCTTCCTATCTGAACCGGCTGATCTGCTTAAAAGGGCAACGTACTTGAAGTGGTGTCATTGTACTTAAAGGGGCAATGCACGTCTCTCTCTCACTCATGCACGCACCCCCAGCACTTTGGAAAGTCAGCACCTGTGCAGCCATCCATGTGCTGTCAGGAGGAGGGAGTGGTGCGCTCCAGCTGGAGAGCGTGGGCTCATCATGTTCAGTTTTTGCAGAGAAGTGTTTGCAGCTACTGCCCTGCATCTATTGTGTTTCCTCCCTCCTGCCTCAGTCCATGCTGCCTTGTGGAGTGTGAGGCTACATTAACAACAGCATATTAACCCGTGACGGCTCAGCCGAGTGCTAGTTCATCATTTAGCAGCAAGGCATTCCGTGGGAAATATCCCACCCTCTTACTCTGCAACTCAACCAAGCTTCACAATCTTTCATTGCTGTGTACAATATTAAACGGTTAAAAATTGTTTAAAACTTACACTGTAAATGTATATAATGTCTTTTGTCTAGCAAAAAAAATTTCCCTGGAACCTAACCCCCCCATTTACATTAATTCTTATGGGGAAATTGGATTCGCTTAACATCATTTTGCATAAAGTCGCATTTTTCAGGAACATAACTACAACGTTAAGTGAGGAGTTACTGTATTACAACTGGGGACAAAGGAAGAAGTATTTTCTGAGATCTGAGGAGGTCATATTTAAATGGGCTGTGAAAAGATTGTTCACAAAAAGTTACTTCCTAGACTAATGGAAAGCTTCTGATCTCAGAGGGTAGAAGCATGGGTAAGCTCTAGAATTTGCCATGCAAAACTCCCTCCTCAACCCACAGGCAAACAGATAAAGTCAGCCTCAGTGTGGTGTCCTCACCAGACCTTAATGCTTTGTTGTTAGTGATCTCTAATATGTCCCCTAGTTAAATATTAAAGTGGTTGGATTATCCCCCTGGTTATACATGCTATTGCTGCAAATATTTGCAGTGCCATGGGATACTATACATAGAGAAGGCAGAGGAAACCGGCAGATGCAAGAGTTAACACAGGATGCCAGCAACAACTCAATACGAGCAAAGCAGAACCAGGAGTGGTTCAGATTTTCACTCACGTAGATAAACTCAGGATTCAAGCACTATGCCCACTGTATATTTTGTGTATGCAGCCTTGTCTTTTTAGCCACGATGCACATATTTGAGGCTTTACAATGTTGTCGGGTATTTCCCTGCAAACATAATACCAGCAGAATAGTCAGAGTGAAATTACAAATTCTGTAACTTAGAACACGTTGTCCTCTCTACCGCATAAAACTGTAAAATCTGTGTTTTCAAGGTCAGAGATAAAACGTCTGGATCTACCATCATCCACTCTAGTGTAATACAAGAGGGTGAGTTTCTACCTAAAGCCATAGTAAAAGTTGTTTTTTAAACTGTTAACAGAAGTTACCTGGTTCTACTAGTATTTGAAGGTTTAGTTACAGACCCAGTTTAGATTTATAAATAGCTTTTATATATATTAAAATTTTATATATATAAAATAAAAATAAATAGTTTATAAAAGTTTAAGAAAAAAATCAGTAGATGTTTTAATAAATGGTCAGACTATTAGAGATTATAGCATCCAAAAGGTCTGATTATAATTATCAATGACACCTTCCACCTATGTACTTATAAGTACTATAACTGTCTATAACACTAGTAATACGATTTATGTAACATCTATTACTTTATTAACCCATTGTGAACTATTTATAAATGAACTTTAATAGTAAAGAGCAATTTTGTATCACACACAATCTTTTGGAGACGTTATTAAACATATACATCCCTAACACAGAGATTTTCGTTACACAGAAAAGGTTTAAAACAGTCAAAAATCCAGTGCTGAAACTTAACACTTACCTCTCAAAATCTGCAAGTCCACCAGAAGCTAAAACTCCTCCAAAACCTCCTTGTGGAAAATAAATTATATATTTTAAATATGACAACAGGTAGGGAGGGAAATGACAACTATCACTGGGTGCAATGAATGCTAAGGTCTCAGCACAGCTGGTAGCGATGAATGCTGTTCTCATACAACTTCGCCAGCGATATTTATACTCTCCGGGGTTATGATCATTTCTTGGCCCTCTATGATCTTGGCAACTGCTCTTTATTTTCTGAGAAAAGGAAAAAATAGAGGGGTGTCAGTGTCATCAAATCTCTCAGGGCAGCAGGGAGATACCATGGAGCCCAAGAAAACTGAGAATCGCCCTACCAAATGGAGTAATATAACACACACACACACACACAGGAAAAGGGGGGTCGGCGGAGGAGGAGACAGAGACTGGGGGGGGGAGGGACCAATAATTAAAACCAAATGATAATTTACAAGTTTTCCAGGAAACCAGCTACAAGGATGGGGCCAGAGAGCCAAGGTTCTGGACTCAGATGGAATTCAACAGTGAAATCCAAGGAGATCACTTAGCTGCAGCCCTTGAAGTTAAAAAAACAGCCCCAAAACAAAAACCCAAACCACTAACTCGTAATTTTCCAGGGATCAGTCGAAGCTGCGGCTCCTCCTGCTCCGAAGTTTCTGGCTGCGAAGGAGAGATAGGAAATGCGATCCCCAGCTAAGCAAGAGCCTCCTGCCCGCAGCAGAAAGGGAGTGGGGGGAGAGAAATCAAAGGAAAGGCTTTAACTGCAAAACAAACCAATTTAGATTCAAAGGGAGGGAGGAAAGAGGGGGGTGCAGCGTAAAGCCCTGCAACCAAACTGCCTTATAAATGAAGCCAAACGAGAGACCTGCGAGTGTGCTTGGGTGGAGGAGAGAGGAGAGGTGGGGAATCACTGCAAGAAGGAAAATCGCAATTAAATGGTTGCAAGTATCAGTTCATCTCCCATTGCTTTGCAAAGCTTTCTTCTCTCTCCTCGCCGTCCCACTAGTCTGCGCCCTAGGAGAGACGCCAGGGGGCGCTCCTCCGCAGTTACTGAGAAGTCATTGCAAGCCTGAAACTGACTACTGGTGGGTGGTGCAGGTCAGCGTTCAGGTTAGGCGAGTGCAGAGCTGGGCTGCACTTGCAGACTGTCACAGGGATGTTTCCAAAGCGCCTGTGTACTTAGCTCCGCAGAGAGGCGCTGCCAGTCCAGGTTCCCTTTCATTAAAAAAAGAAGAAACAACAAAATAACTGAGGGTCCTGTGGCACCTTTTAGACTAACAGAAGTATTGGAGCATAAGCTTTCGTGGGTGAATGCCCACTTCATCCACGAAAGCTTATGCTCCAATACTTCTGTTAGTCTTAAAGGTGCCACAGGACCCTCTGTTGCTTTTTACAGATTCAGACTAACACGGCTACCCCTCTGATACTTAACAAAATAAGTGTGATTGATGGCCAAGAAGCCACCCTGTAGATTTTAGAGCAATGCATTGTTCCAAACAGGGGTTTGGTGGCTGTCAAAGGGAATGGTTTGGGCAGAAGAGAATTTGAAAGGGCAGGGGAAATAAACCAGTAATGTCAATCCATTAGTTGAATGAGAGTCCCCTTAGTTACTCTGTCCAGGGGCATTCAAATACAGAAGGATGGAGGCAAAAAATGTTGGGATGTGTACACACAAATACAACCCACACAAATACACACACACCAGAAACAACCAAGGTCTCTTTAAAACAGTCTGAATCATTTTCTGTTTAAAACTGCTGACCAATATCCTGAGAGTTTTATGCTTTTCAACAGTTGATAGTATATCCAGTCAATACTGGTTTGAAGACTGCAACTCTCAGGATATTCTCCAAAGAATTATACATTTAAAACACAGCAAAGCTTGCACAGATCAAAAATAGATTTATCATACTTGATATATGGATTATTAGAAATACCATCTTCATTAAAAAACAAACAAGGCCACTCCATCCAGTCTAGTGGGCAATTTACATGGGGGGGGGGGAACCCACTCTCTTAAAATGTTGACTCCTATAGACGTCTTTGCTTAGTCACTCTTGGCTTTTTGCCATTTTTCAGAACTAAGCTTTTGGGGAGAGGGGGGGGGAGAAGGGATATCTTGTTTTCATAATCCAATCTGTCTGGATATCTGTCTGCATTACAGAAATCCCAAAGCATGGTGTCCAGTTTGCATGGCTTTTTAAATAATTAGATCCACTGGCAAGCATTATCAATATCTTTCTTTAGAACAACATGGGTGCAAAGCACCTAGTCGTCTTAAGAAAAATCTAAGATGGTCACAATATTATCCACTCTGTCAGGTCAATCCTTTTCTATTTGTATTTGGATGACATTTTGGTTTATTTTAAAGGAGTTCCAGATGTGAAACAATGGCATATGGCCCCTTATCTGTAGCCCATAGCTCTATCTTGCTTATAGAAATTCAGTGGAATTTGGAACAGAGGGTCCTGTGGCACCTTTGAGACTAACAGAAGTATTGGGAGCATAAGCTTTCGTAGGTAAGAACCTCACTTCTTCAGATGCAAGAAGTGAGGTTCTTACCCACGAAAGCTTAT